CAAAAACAGTAGCAACAAGTCTTACAATGGAGACGTTACTGGTGCTGGCTGGAGCAAATCGATGAACAACGGGAGGACAGTGCTACAGTTAGTTCCTAGAAATTGCGAACCTGTTTCCAATAAACAGCACGGAAGTTTAACTTTATACATCTCAGTTCTCTTCTAGTAAACCAGAAAAGTGTAATCTTTTCTATTACCAGAAAAGTGTAATCAAGAAGCTGTTGTATATTTTCTGTGTATCCATGGCAGAGTGAGCCAGAGAAGGGATTTCAGAAAGAGAAGTGAGCAGTTTACCAAAAATGAATCAAAGGACTGAAAACTCCATTTCCTAGGGCGTAATGCTAAGTTGCATTTAAGAAACAATAATCAATCTCTTAAGCCTGGAGAAAGAGCACAGGAGGTAGAGTACTTGCCTTTGTGTGCTATTGCTCCACCATAGACCCTGGGTCCAAGCCAAAGCTCCTCCAGGAATGACTCTGGAGCGGAGAACCGGAAATGAACCCTGAGTACAGGCTGGTGTGATTAAAATAACTCATCATAAAATGACGGGTTCAAATTTTAGTAGGTGGTACTTTGCAGCAGTAAAAGCAAGTTTATTGGAGTGAGGCTATAGGACCGTGGTTCAAGCACATCCTAAGCATGAAGGTTTGATTCCTGGCATTCCACAGAGACTTCTGTGAGCTAATTATTTAGATTGTCGATAAATTTCCCAATAATGTGTTTGTTTATATAGATTTTTTATGCTTTATTAGATTTAGCGATAGCACGGTGGTAGGGCGTTTGCCTTGCACGCACCCAATATGGCGACCCGAGTTCGATTCCTCCGCCCCTCTCGGAGAGCCCAGCAAGCTACCGAGAGTATCTCGCCCGCAGGACAGACCCTGGAAAGCTCCCCGTGACGCATTAGATATGCCAAACACAGTAACAACAAAGTCTCCAATGGAGACGTTACTGGGCCCGCTCCAGCAAATCGATTAGATTTAGCATAAGCATTTCATATTTTTATGTGTTGCTCAAATTTTTCTAATTTATATTGCTGGGTTATATTGTTGGAGTGGGTAGGGCATTTGCCTGGCGCGCAGTTGATCCGGGTTCGATTCCTCCGTCCCTCTCGGAGAGCCCGGCAAGCTACCGAGAGTATCCCGCCCACATGGCAGAGCCTGGCAAGCTCCCCGTGGCATATTTGATATGCCAAAAACAGTCACAACAAGACTCACAATAGAGACGTTACTGGTGCCCACTCGAGCAAGTGGATGAACAACAGAAGGACAGTGCTACAGTGCTACAGTACTACAATGCTATATTGCTGGTTTTGTAATTCAAATTTGTTGTTTTTTTTTAAATTTTCTCATTTATTCAACACACTCAATATGCTTTTTGGTTTTTGAGCTACACCTGGCAATGCACAGGGGTCACTTCTGGCTCTGCACAGGGGACCACAAGGAATGCCAGGGATTGAACCCATGTCAGCGGCATGTAAGGCAAGCAGAGGTACTTTCTGTACTATTTATCCAGCCCCAATAATTCAAATACTTCTTATAATGACTTCACCAAACATACCTGTAGATTCTCTGGTGTTTTCGTCAAACGTATATCTCTGAAAACATCATTTATATCATTGAATATTATTATATATACTCAGAAATAAAATAAATATTTTCCTTTTATCATCATACCTTTGTTATTGTTTTGTTCTGTCAATATTCTTAATTCAGATTTACACTTTTTTTTGCTTTTTGGGTCACACCCAGTGATACATAGGGGTTACTCTTGGCTCTGCACTCAGGAATTACTCCTGGCGGTGCTCAGGGGACCATACAGGATGCTGGGAATCAAACCCAGGTTCACTGCGTACAAGGCAAAAGCCTTACCCATTGTGCTATCACTCCAGCCCCCAACTTCTTGACCTCTCACCGTGAGTACAATTTTCTGCCAATGTGAAGAAATAAGTAAGACTATCCACTATAAATTTTTTATTGAAATTACATGTTAGAACGTGTAAACAGTTATCACATATTCAGTGGTTCATAATTTCTGATCTTGTTTGTTTGTTTGTTTGTTTGGGACAATACCCAGCATGCACAGGAACTACCCCTGGCAAACTCGGAGAACCTGGGTGGTCCTGGGAATCAAACCAGGGTCAGCTGTCTACAAGGCAAGCACCCTACCCACTGTGCTATCTCTTCAGCCGTCTGCTGATTTTTTTGTTTCATCTTTTGGAGGTATGCTCTGAAGACATTTGCTACACCTACATTTTAAAATGCATTGCAATGTCTTCTGATGACTTCTACTAAGAATTCATTATTATAGAAAATCAGTCCCCAAATTGCTTTAAGTCTAGTTTTTTTTTTTTTTTATATTGGGGCAATGCAGTTTCCTGCTAAGTTGCTCTCTTTTCTGAAACCCAAAAGGTCAATGAATTGAGCTTCTGAAAATACTTTCAAAATTGAGTCGATCATTAAAGCGATTGGATTATTTTTCTCGGATTTTTTAAAATTTGTTTGTTTGGGGGTCAAACCTGGTGGTGCTCAGGGCTTTCTCCTGGTTCAGTACTTAGGGATCACTCCTGGTGGGGCTCAGGGAACCTGGAACTCGGCTTGGCCGCATGCAAGGCCAGTACCCTACTCTCTGAACCCTCTGCTGACCGCTCAGTTGCTTTTTAATTAATTGTATTTCGTTTATGTTGACATCAAAGGGAACCTTATTTCAAGTGAGAATTTGAGTTTCCAAGTAGATATCTTTCTCCAATATGTAACCAAAATTTTCAGGTAAAAATCAGATCCTCAAAGATATTTTGTATGATCAAAACTCCACAGGTATGAAATATGGTGTCGAAACGTATTTGTTGCATTGATCAAGTTCCCTGGAGAAGTCTGGATGTTTAAAGCAACAGTTTGATTGAATAGAACAATAAATGCAGGGCTGAGTGTATTTTTCTCTTTTTTTCTCATCTACTAGAAAAATATAGATAATAGAGCTCATTTATTTCCTTAACATTTCAGAGCTCCACAGATGGGAAAACACAACCCAGTGGAAATTATTTCTGGCAACCTTGAGAAGATATGTTAGCATTTTGTGGCATTTCTTTCACTGACATGTAAAGCATGGCTTTCCCTCATTGCAATGTCACAGTGAAGTGTCACAATAAAGCCAAAATAGTGTGCCCTCAGGGAAAACTAGGGAAAGGGAACATTTTCCATGCACACACAAAGGGTAATATTTATTATAAAGCCTTTCATTTTCACTCCAAATGCTGCCTGGGCTTAGGCTACTTTGCGATGGAGAAAGGCACAGAATGTGAAATTTCAAGCTAATGTTATGTATAAACCTAATGCATTTTATGTAAATATAAATAATATGTTTTTTTTTAAGTAGGATGCATTTACAGACAGACAAGCCTGCATAAATCTATGCAGGGCGCCAGGGAGAATTTGTGATATTGTGTAGTGTCTTCAGCAGCCGATGTTTCAGAGGCCAAGGGTCCCTGGGTGAGCGGTCCCCTCCCTGTCTGCGTCACTCCGAGCCCAGATGCTATCTTCTTTGTCCCCCAGATCCAGAAATGATTTTCCCTCTTGGATGAGACAGTTGTCATTCTAAACTTCAACATTTTGTACGTCACATAACTAATATCCCTGAAGGTGCTTCATACAATGTTGGTAGCCAGTGCAATTATTTATGTTAAGTTAAACTAATGTTTTAGATAAAAAATACTTCTATCTACATTGTTTCCATTTTCACAATAATGTTTTGGATCCAAATGTTGAAGTTGATATTTATTATAATTAAATGTCATTTTCATCGAGTTAACACTGTAACTAGAGTATGGTCGTTTGGGGAGGAGAGGGTCTAAATTGCATTTTGAAGTATGATTTTTATTGTTGTAACCCTGCATAATATCCAGATTTAATGAGCAACATATAGGCACCTGAATTGCTGAGCCACCATCTTTGTTTTGTGTTTCAAAGAGGGCAACTTAGATCTTTTATCAATTTCATAATAGTACAGATTAGTCATCTTTTAAATTATAGCATAGTGTATTATATCTCTAGATCCACGGTTATCTCCTCTAAAACTTTGCATTGAAAGTTGCATTTTTCCTCAAAGAACTTTAAAAATATATCTCTCATGGTCTCATGGCTAACTAATCTCACTGGTCTTCTTGGATCTGGCCAAGAGTCTATTTGTCTTAAATTCACTCCTGAAGAAATTAATATTAATTCTAAAAGAATTGTTTGTATGATCTCAGGTTTTAAAAGGCCAACCTTAGGAGGACTTCAAAAGGAAAATAAATGAAAATAGGAGTAAGGATTATCTTTGTAAAATTCAAATTTATCTTTCTCTTTGTGTTTCTCCTATGAGTCCAGTAGGTGGGAATGAAAAACCAAATCAGTAAATCAAATCAGCTAATCTTCAATAATCAACCAACCAACCAACGGGATCTATTTATTTGTTAGTTGGTTGGTTTTTTATGACTGGAGATCCACCGATGGAATGTTCATAGCCTGCTTCCTCCATTTTCGTTCCTTTCTTTTGTTAAAACCCAACATAGGACACCTCACCTCTGGGGCACGGTTGTGACAGGCAGAAGCAGTTTCAACGATTGAAAACCTTGTACCTTATTCAATATAAGACACAGTTTTCGATATCTGGTGGCATATTTTTCACGTTGGTTGATTCCTAAGATTAGAGAATCTAGTTCATTCCTTTGTGGGTCTTTCATGTTTTGCAACAAACCACAGATTAACATGTACTTCATCAGGGTGATGGATGGGCCCTTTGCTTGCTAGATTGTTCATTTTCAATTCTTTGGATAGGCAGTAAAATATAATCCACAAAATGCCATGGATTCAGTAGATGGGACATATATTTTTAGTGCTGATGACTAACCCGAAACTTTCGGTCTGAAGCTTGCACAGATTGGGTTCCGCTTCATGCAAATCAAATGCCAGACAATAGTTAACTGTTTTCACCAAATCCTCAATCTGTGTCGATCACCACAGTGCCACATACGAGTGCTCCGCGGTGAAGAAGAGGAGGGCCGAAGAGCAGGCGCTAGGTGTGCCCATCAACAAGAGGAAGTCCCTGCTGATGAAGCCACGGCACTACAGCCCCCACGCAGAGGGCAAGCCAGACGGTGGCGACGGCAGAGAGGCAGAGGAGGACGGCAGCCTCCTGGAAAGCAACCACCGCCTTCCCACAGGTAGCGAGGAGTGCTCCAGAACCTTTCTCTTCCCTCTGTCTTGACTTAGAACACGCAGTCGGTGTGGTTGCAGAAGCATATTCCAACTGGGAAACAGAGCGCAAACGTTCATGCCACTCACTGAGCATCTGCTTATTGAGGGTGATTATTTATCAGTAGCTGAAGGGCCCAAAGATAAGGACTGAGAGTCTGTCTGAGCCTATCTGCAGACGCACAGGATTAGGTTGTAAATAGTTTTTTTTGTTTTTGTTTTTGTTTTGCTTTTTGGGTCACACCTGGCTATGCACAGGGGTTACTCCTGGCTCTGCACTCAGGAGTTACTCCTGGCAGTGCTCAGGGGACCATATGGGATGGTGGGAATCGAACCCAGGTCGGTCGCGTGCAAGGCAAATGCCTTACCCACTGTGCTATTGCTCCAGCCCCCAGGTTGTAAATAGTTTTAAGAAAATGAAATGTAATGGCTTTAAAGTTGAAGAGTACCTAGATTACCTCATTGGATGCATATCTACTTCTAAAAGAACCCTGACAAGTAAAGCAACATATTTCAGCTCCAAATTTATATTACATATGATACATTGAAATACACATATGATAAATGTTTTAGTTACATGTATGAGGTTTTAGTTATATGTAAAACTATTTTACAATGTTGTTGAAGCACTTCAATCATTCTAGGGATGCCGTGACTTGAACATTATATGCATACACATGTATTACACATATAATGAATGGTTTTGTTATATATATGCATATGTATGTATATAGAAGCTTTTCTTATATAAAAAATATATATGCATATGTATGTATATAGAAGTCTTTCTTATATAAAATATTTTACCATGTTCATAACTGTCTTAACCATTACATAATATCGTGATTGACAGCATATACAAATATATGCTTATGTACATAATACATCGGTTGCATACTTAGAATTAACACATGAATTGTAAAAGTCGTTTTACAGAACTGGAATAATAGTACAGCAGGTAAGCTGCTTGCCTTGCATGCTGGGTTGGGCTCCCTGCGCCTCCTGTGGTTCCCTGATTCCCACCAGGAATGATCCCTGATTGCAGAGCCACAAGCTCTGGAGAGATGTGGCCCAAAAAAATTTTTTGAAAGTTAATTAAAACATTTTATAGCCTAAATATCCCCCCAGTAGAATTGGTGCAATGCCATGGATCAATGCGAAATTTTTAGTTTATAGTTTGCTGCAGGTTGACTTTAGGTTGACCTTGTGACCACTCACTACTTTCGGACTAGCCAGAGTGATAGCACAGTGGTAGGGCATTTGCCTTGCATGCAGCTAGCCCGGCTGAGTCAGGTTCAATTCCTCCGCCCCTCTCTGAGAGCCTGGCAAGCTACCCAGAGTATCTCGCCTGCACGGCAAAGCCTGGCAAGCTACCCATGACGTGTTCAATATGCCAAACTACAGTAACAAGAAGTCTCAAAATGCAGGTTACTGGGCCCGCTCGAGCGAACTGATGAACAACGGGAGGACAGTTATTACAGTTATAATGCAAAATTACTATGTCTTTAAGAATTTCAGCATTTTAAAATTTTTTTTTGAATTTCAGCATTTTAAAGTAATTTTTATAGCAATAGACTACAGACGATTCCCAAAGTCAGCAACCTCGTGTTACCTTCAGTAGGGAAAAGATGCATTCTAGAAAACATGTCACTGGGCCCAATATTTCCAAATTAAATCCTTTCAGTTTATGTTTCAGAAGACAACTGAATTCTTGGTCACTCTGCAGCCACTGTTGACGTGCTGAGTGAAACGCACTTGCTCTTCCGGGATGTTCGGATGAGCCCCTCCCTGCAGACAGTTATTGTCATGGACCTGGGGGACATTCCATGTCCACTAGCAGCTGGAATCCCACTCACTGCGTATGCTTTATGCTGCAGGACATGTAAACAGCTGTCCATGGCTGAAGGATATGCAAACCATACTCCAAAAGTTAGGAAGAACTGAAAGTTTGATTAGTAAATCAAGTATACATATATTCTATTAGGTGCATTTTTTTCAATTTTGAGGGTTTCAAAATATGCTAAATATATTTTAAAGTGCAAATTACATAGAACAAAGACGATAAAACTCGGGTCGTTTATATTTCTGCAGATAGAATTATTCTATAGTATTAGTGGCTTATACAAAAAGATATAAAGGCAGCTTGACTGAGTCTATGCAAATCTCAGATCTCTAGTGAGCTTGGTTTGTGAGAAGTTTAGGACTTCAGTTTCAAAGAAATGTTGGGACTACAGCAATAGTAGAGAGGATGTTTGCGTTGCACGCGGCTCATCAGGGTTCTATCCCCAGAACTCCCTATAATTCCTCAAACACTATTAGCAATGATACGTGAGTACAGAACCAGGAGTAAACCCTGAACACAGTTGCGTGTAACCCCCAAACAGACATTAAAATTATTTTAGGGGTCGAGAGAGAATATATAGAGATTAATGCGTATTCCTTGTCTGCAGCCAACCCTGGTTCAATCCCCGCACCTTCAGGTGGTCCCTTCAGCATCACTAGGTGAAGCCCGGGAGGTGCAGGCATCATGGCTGGCTGAGCAGTTGCCAACATCACAGGTCTTGAGCAGTACCACACCCAAGGGCTCTTCCTGAGCTACCAGTCCTGTTGGCAGAGAATTGCCAGGAAGGACCCAGGCCTCCTTAGCACCATTCGAGAGACAACTCCCACCCAAAAAAACGTTTTCTGATTTGATGGTACGCAAGTAATTTTTATGGCTCTTGAATATGCAGCGTGTGACTTAAAGTCTCATGTTTCATATATAAATTATAGGTACTCACCGGGGCTGGAGAGATGGTACAGTGCTTGGGGCACTTGCCTTGCACATGACCAACCCAGGTTGGATCCCCAGTACCCAATATGGTCCCCCGAGCACCACCAGGAGTGATTCCTGAGTGTAGAGTCAGGAGTAGGCCCTGAGCATCACCATTGTGGACCCCTTTACAAATCAATAAATAACCATTATCATTCTCCACTTTTTTTTGTTTTCTTAAACTACTCAGTCTTTCTTTGGTTGCTGTTGGCATCTGAAAACTGCATGGCAAATCTAACAGCAGGGAAGGTTTTAAGTCTCTGTGGTTAGACTGGTGTTTAATACATTTGGCTAACGTTACTTTACCAAAAAGTTAAGAAAAGAGACATGTTTTATACCAAAACACTCGTGAAAGGCTGATGAGAACAAGGACTGGATCTTTCTGAGGCCTTGTCATCTTCTACTGTAGTTGTGTGATCATTCTACCTGCTACTGTTAGCTAAAACCATATTTTGTCAGATGTATTTTGTTAAACATTCAGCGACATGAATTGATGGACATCTAGTTGCCGGTTCACATATATTAACTTTTATGTTTGATACTTGAACCACTGCTACTACTAATAAATATACTGAAATTACAGCAGTAGTGACCTTTACATCAAACTCTTAATATATTCCAGTTACATAAATTATATCACTTAACCCAACCAACAATGACAGGAAACATGTACAATTATGATCACAATTTTACAGGTGAGATCACTGAGGACCAAATAGGTTTTAATGCTTAAAGGCATATGGCTTGTCAGTATTGAAAGGGAGACAATTGCGAAACAATTGAAGGAGAACGAAAATAATTACTTCCCAGCCAACCACACTTCATAACCCAATTACGCTTATATCTATCTTCAGAAAACAGAATAGGCAAAGTTTCTAGATGTCAAATCATAAAATCACTTTATCAGAAATGACAGGTTTGAAACGCTTCAACCCCTTGTCAAATTAGCACAGTTCTAAATTGTTCTCATTTGTCTGAGCAAGTTCTCCTGCACCCCTCACCCCTACTCTCCAAAAGAGAATGGAACTGAGTATTGCTCAAGAATCTTTTAATCAATGACGTCTGAGGACCCCAAAGTCTTAACTGGGTGTCCTCAGCAGGCTGATGAGATGAAGAGGGTAAGCTCATGGAGCCTAAGATTGTAAACTTGACTCAATTTCTTGGCAAAACTGCACTCTATTTTGACTGGTGATCTCAAATGGCAACAGGCGGGTGTCCGGGTGACCGAGGAGAACATGGACAAATGAGGTAGTAGCATGTCTTCACAAGGGCACACCGAAGAACATGCGAAGGACTAGCAGATAGGGCCCCTGCGTGACTTCCCATGCAGACAAGGGATAGAAAGGTCACCTCAAAGCGAGATTAAAGAAATCACAGAGTCCCTCTCGATGTATAACCACACACTCACAAGAGAGCGAAACTCAAGGGACCCGATGACACTCCCAACCCTCCTCAGAGAATGGGTGTCACTTCAACTTTGAAAGATGAACTTTTTTCCCATAATTTTTTTTTTTTAGTCCTAGCAAAATAAATGTATTCAAGAGGCCTGGAAAGCTACTTCACCTATAACAATGACATAGAGTTAGAGACAGAGGACCAAAAGTCGATTTTGAGTGCAACTCAAAGCCTGTTGTGATTTTCAAAAGATTCTTTTGTTTGATTGTTTGCATGTTTTGGGTTGAGAAGCTGGCATAGACACAAGAATGTGGAGCTTCCCTCTTCTAGGGATTTCAGAGTAAAGAAAGGGGTTTAAAGCAAATAGGTACATGTGAAACTTTACATATTTGAAAACAATGTTAAAATTCTTTTCCTCTAAGGGTAAAGTGTCACTGCACCACCCACTCCTCCTCCCTCCCCTACCCTTTGAAAAACCTTCCTGTGCTCCCAGTAGGAAAGTTGTCTAAGGCCTTCCTCACTGTCTTCCTCACTGTCCGCCAGAAGCAAACCCAAGAACATTTCAATAGAAGGCAATTACAACAGGGGCTTGGGGGCAGCTTTTTTTGTTGTGGTGGTTGTTAATTAATTTGTTTTTGTATGTATTTATTTATAATTTAGAGATCACTGTTTTCGAAAAGTTTTCCACTGTTTTAAAAGTTAGCTGAAAATTGTGTTAGAGTATCTTCTATTAATTGGACTCTTGAAAAGATACAAACTTGGGGGGAAAATAGACTGTCAGTATTCTGTCAGGTCTGTCTGAAGGTGGGCAGTATTTTTCCTGCACTCTGGTATCGGGAGACATCAGTTACAGAGCGAAGACCATAGAGTCGGAAAGATCCTTGCCCCGCTATGGCCCCTAGCCCCTCAGTGGCCAGCGTGTACAATATTTTGAGTTGTTATAAAGATGATGTGAAATAAAGACCTGAGCACCTTGCCAGGGAGATGTTGAGTTTTTTTTATTCAAGGATGTTATTAGATGATCCTGTTGTTGGGTCATAGGCTCAATGTCATTTCTTGGATGAAGCCCTAGAACCCTGGGCTCTCAGACCTCCATCTAGTTTTCCCCATCCTTATAGCCTCCCACAGTACTAGCTGAGCACTGTCCTGGCTGGGGGCACGGTGAGGAGTGGAGCTGAGTCCTTCACGTGGTCTCAACCAGGCCAATGGTCCAGGGTCCCTGTTTGCTGTAAATAAGGAAGATTGTCACTGTATCTGTGTGGCACCCAAGCTTCCTCCGGCATTGCTCTCTTCCTAACAGCATCTATCTGCGCAGGGAGAAGACTCATCACTTCCACAATACTTGGCACTGACCCTTGTGCTCCCTGTCCTCTCCCAGCTGTACATCACTTATACTAAAAAAAAAAAATAAGAAATTGTGAGAGACCCTCTCACTCTAAAGGTTGGAATCTGTGCATTATTTCACTGCAAAGGCACTAAACGAATTACTAGACCACCAGGGAAAATAAAATCTCTAGCATCTGAAATATAGGCAGGCCATGACAAAGCTAGGAGAGACAGCGCCCTGTCACAGATCTGCCAGAGTGAAAAGCTAATTTGACTTTTTTTTTCTCTCTCTCTTATAATTGCAGTGAAAGGCAGAGAGGTGCGGGTACCAGAAAGTTGGTTGGGAGATTTGCAGAGCGTCCCCGGAAGCCATCGTGTGCAGAGCACGTAGGCACCTCTACCGCACGGCTCCTCTCTTTCTGAGGAATAATTAATAAATATTTTCTTTTAGCATATAACAAACAGTTGAACTGAACAATTATGTAAACTGGAAATGACCCAATCTGCTAGCAGTTGGCAGCATCACAGTAAAATGCATTGTCCTGCACATGTGTGTTTTTGTCGCTCCTGCCTCTCTGGTGATCTGCACTTAATAGGAATATTTTAAACTATGTAGCTAAGCAACAGAGGTAATTGTTGCTTTCTCGAGCTTTTGTTAGCTCTCTAACACAGCCCAAATATGCATAATTAGGTATAATGTCTATAAATCATTATTGTACACATGTGGGTAGTTAAGTGGAGTGAGAGAATAGTTCAATGAATTGAGCATATTCACTGAAAATGCTTTTTATTTGTTTTCTGTAGTTCATAATACTTTAAAATTATCATAACCCTTTACACTTTCTCTTAATAGCCAACCGTGATATTGAGCAAAACTTCATTTGCATTTTAGACTATGTTTAATATATTATTTAAACCTGGAGTTCCTCTGATATGAATTCAGAAGAGGATAGCCCATCCTCTCAAATATTGTGTGCTTGTTTATGCAGTCTCTTTTCGAGGAAGTAAAATGTTAAATTTTTCAGTTTATGTTGAATAGATCCCAACAAAAGACTGCACCCTATAATCAGCATTATTTAAAGGGGCTAGTGTTGTGACTGCATTCTTCCCTTCATCCAAAAATGCTTTTAGTTACTATGGCAATATTTACTTGATCCTGGCAGTCCAGTGTTGATTTAGGGAGATAATTACCAGAAAGGAAGATGATGGAGATGTATTTTTGAGTGTCCTTGTCAGAGACAATGTTTATAAAAAAAATTAAATGAGACCCCCAAAAAAGGCATATTGTCTTCTGCACGAACACCCTCTCCCACAGCCCTCGTGCAGGGTGGTGGTGCTTTTCTCCTTCCCAAAGATGCTTATTAGCACAGAACGCTCTTTGCTCCGTGTCTTTAACAGTCATTAGGGGGGATATCAGAGCTTCCCATCCCCCACGTAGCTTTTGTGAGATAGAGTTGGCTCTGCAGCTTCTGTGCTGGTGGTGGTGCGTGGTGGCTTTGTTGCGTGTGAGGGCCATTGGTGAGTTGTCTGGCACCTGGCAGAGCCTGGTGTGTCCCAGGTGCTGAGCCCGTTCGTAGGAGGCTCAGGGCTAGATCTGCGTAGAATCCCACCACCCGTGGGTGTGTCTGTGCTGGGATGGGTTTGGGTAGACTTCATAGGCCTGTCTATAACCGCCCATGCTTGTGTGTGTATACGTCTACGGTGACAGTGAGAGGAGTGATACAAACAGACACAGTGGAACCAGATTCAGTGGACTACGCTAGAATGGCACCTGGGGATCTGACCCCAGCATGGGGCTCATTATCCCTCAGTGTCTGAGTCGACCCCTCTTCATGTTCAACTTGTCCACGTTCAACACGCTTTAATCGTCCCACCTCTTATCTCATTTCCTTTTTCCGCATGGGTTGGAATTTTTGCTCTGCAATGCCCGAGACTATTCCTGGCCTGGGAGTGACCCCTGGTCGTTCATCAGGGACCTTATGGGATGTGGGGATCTGACCAGGATCAGCGGGAGCAGCCATGTCCAAGACAAATGCACCCCCTTGTCTCCATTACCTTCTACACAAATACATGCAAATAGCAAACCAGGAAATGTATGCCCTTGATCCTGGTAATTTTCCCATTTCCTTTTCTTTAAGAAAAAATTGTGCTACAATTTTGGGGAATCAACAAGAAGTTTTGAAAACGTTTGTATTCTTCCAATTTTCGCCCCTTTGTAGATGCATTTTAATTTAATTTAATTTATTTATTTGCTCGAGCGGGCCCAGTAACGTCTCCATTGGAGACTTTGTTGTTACTGTGTTTGGCATATCGAATACGTCTCAGGGAGCTTGCCAGGCTCTGCCGTGCGGGCGAGATACTCTCGGTAGCTTGAGCTGGAGCGATAGCACAGCGGTAGGGCGTTCGCCTTACAAGCGGCCAACATGGCCGACCCGAGTTCGATTCCTCTGCCCCTCTCGGAGAGCCCGGCAAGCTACCGAGAGTATTCGATATGCCAGACACAGTAACAACAAAGTCTCCAATGGAGACGTTACTGGGCCCGCTCGAGCAAATCGACGATCAACGGGAGGGTCTTTACCTTTACCTTTACCTTTACCTTTATTTATTTATTTATTTATTTATTTTTACTTTTTGGGTCACACCTGGTGATGCACAGGGGTTACTCCTGGCTCTGCACTCAGGAGTTACTCCTGGCGGTGCTCAGGGGACCATATGGGATGCTGGGAATCGAACCCAGGTTGGCTGCATGCAAGGCAAACTCCCTACCCACTGTGCTCTCTCTCCAGCCCCAATGCATTTTAATTTTAACTATCATGCCATAACACCTGAAAGTATGTTGAGAAGCTACAGAAGCAGAAAACATAAACTAAGTAGACTTTAAAAATAAATTACTATAGGGGCCAGAGTGCCAGTACAGCAGGTTAGGTGCTTGCCTTGCAAAGGCCAACCCAGGTTCAATCCCCTTTATCTCGTATGGTCCTCTGGGCAGTGCTAGGAGTGATCCTTGAGTGCAGAGCCAGGAGTAACCCCTGAGCATCACCAGGTATGGCCCCAAACTAAACATATATGTCACTATATATGTATGTCCTCCTGTTGTTCATCGATTTGCTCGAGCAGGCCCAGTAACGTCTCCATTTTGAGACTTGTTGTTACTGTGTTTGGCATATCGAATACGTCACGGGGAGCTTGCCAGGCTTTGCTGCGCAGGCGAGATACTCTCAGTAGCTTGCCGGGCTCTCCGAGAGGGGTGGAGGAATTGAACCCAGCTCGGCCAGGCTGGCGGCTTGCAAGGCAAATGCCCTACCGCTGTGCTATCAGCGATATATGTACGTATACAGATATATAGCCATAGTACCACAGAAATTATATATATATATTCCCTTTCTATCATTTAGCATTATATACATTTGTTTCTTTCAGTTGTGGAAATTAAAAGGTATAGTAGCAATATCTAGAACTTTTTTTAGGGATCAATTTTAGTATCCTAGAAACACTTAATTATTAATTTGCTAAAATTTTCATAGTAGTTTCCTTAATGGTAATTCTCAGAATATAGAGGCCTCCCAGTTTTGTCTTGTTTAAGAAGATGCATATATATGTATATATATATATTTTTGTCCCCTTCCTTATAAAACTGATATCTATATACTTAATTATATGCATAGATCAAAGCTATGTGTGTAAGTTTATCCCTGTGGATCATAAGTATAAATTCCTAATTTTGTTCACATGTTTTCCTTTCTGTAGAAGAAGTAATGATGAAAGGTCTGGATGAGAACCTTCCTTCGGTGGTGCAGGATCACCCCCATGGGAAGGAAGACAGCTACGGTTGTTACCAAGAGCTCGTGGTCAAATCTTTGATGCACTTAGGGAAATTGGAAAACAATGTGTGTGTTCAGTCCCTGAGCGAAAACTTCAACGACAGTGGCATCCAGTCTCTCAAGGCGGAGAGCGAGGATGCCGATGAGTGCTTCTTGATTCATTCCGATGACGGGAAGGACAAAGCCCAGGAGTCCCAGCTCCAGTTCTGCTCCTCAGATGACAACGAAAGTAACTCTGAGAGCGCAGAGAACGGCTGGGACAGTGGATCCAACTTCTCAGAAGAAACCAAACCACACAGAGTCCCAAAGTTCCTCTTAGTGGATAATAGAAAAGACCTATTGGAAATTCCCGAAATAAAAACTGAGGCTGACAAATTTCTCTCCTGCGAAAACCCGTGTGATTCCGAAACCGACAGGAGAGACCCCCAGAGGGCCCCCATGGACGCCCTGGGGGGGCAAGCCCAGCCCTCGTTCCAGGGGACGGAGGAGGATGACAAGGAGTGCCTGGCTGAGGTGGCGAAAGAGCCCGGGGACCTGGAGAAAGCCAAAGGGAACTTGAGTTTGCTGGAGCAGGCCATTGCTCTGCAGGCCGAGCGGGGCTGTGTCTTCCAGAACACCTACAAGGAGCTCGACAGGTTCTTGCTGGAGCACCTCGCAGGGGAGAAGAGGCAGACCAAAGCTATGGACATGGGTGGGAGACAAATCTTCAACGCTAAACGTAAGACGCGTCTTTGCTTTCACGTGAAGATCAAAATTGCATTAGGATTGGGAGACAAGAATGAGTAATGTTTGAGCGATTCTACGTAGAGTTAATGCTGCTTAAAACTAGCTTATATGTGTGTGTGTGTGTGTGTGTGTGTATACACATATGTATTTAAATTCCTTGCTCTTAAAGCTGTTTTTTTTCTTTTAATTTTTATTAGTGAAACACCATGAGGTGCAGTTGTAGACTTGCAAATTTTTGTGCTTGGGTTTCAGTTATACAATGATCAAATACCCATCCCTCCACCAGTGCCCATTTTTCACCACCACGGGTCCCAGTTTTACAGTGTTTTTGCACATGAAAGGAAAAAAGGGTCATTTCTTGTACTTTTAAAATTTTAACCACTTAAAAATATGTAATAGGGGCTGGAGCGAAAGCACAGCGGGTAGGGCGTTTGCCTTGCATGCAGCCAACATGGCCGACCTGGGTTCGATTCCCAGCATCCCATATGGTCCCCTGAGCACCGCCAGGAGCAATTCCTGAGTGCATGAGCCAGGAGTAACCCCTGATCATCGCTGGGTGTGACCCAAAAAGCAAAAAAAAAAAAATGTAACAGATTTTCTGGTGTTTGATATACGTATATATGTAATATAATATATATATGTATTATATTTGTTTGGGGGCCACACCTCGCAGTTCTCAGGGCTTCCTCTTGACCTGTGTTCAGGGCTCACTCCTTCTGGGTCTCAGGGGGGCATTTAAGATGGAATGTGGGAGGGCCACGTGCAAGGCCAACACCCTACCTGCTGTCCTACCTCTCTGACCTCAATACATAGTAGTTTTTTTAGTACCTTATTGAATGTGGTATGACTATGGATGTACTTATTATATTTCAGATCATTTTATTATAACCCAGTTCCAGAAATTTACCTGTTCTTTTCTATCCTTCTTCTAGATGTTCTTGAGTTTCAAAATAATGTCAAGCTACTTCAAGTCAGAGAAAATGCTTGGGTCTTTCTTAGGATAGAATGAGATTTTAATGCTTTTCTAAACCTTTGACTTTCCTACCTCTCTAACCAGGGCCCATGGATATCTGGTCGAAACTCGAATGAGACAGTAAATGTGCTGGGGGAAAAACTTAAATTGTTCCTTAAAATTAAGGGACATTGTGTCCACTCTCCTCTGAAAGAGAAGTCCCTCTCCTCACTGTACTGAGTCTTATACTGATGGACCAAGCAAGGGTTTCCATAGTTAGATGCAGTGTCTTGGGTGGGGGTCTTCAAGTGCCTGCAGAGATTTGTAAAATAGTTTTCTAGGGCCCCATAAGACTTGTAGCTGCAGAACTTACTTTTTGTGTTTATTTGTTCAGAAAAGTCCTCAAGTGACTCTTGAGCACTTTAAACCTAAAATTTATGGATGTAGGACATCAGATTTTTAAGAAAAAAAATCAAGACCTTCTAAGAATAAATGCAATTCATGTACTTTGCGGTTCTGATTATTCAGATTTGTCCAAAACTGAACTTTTCTTCTTTTTTTTTTATTTTGAGTCCAATTTAGTACTCACTCGCAATCTTGTCAAATATTTTCTTGCAACTCAGAGATGAAGAAAGGGAGAGAATAAAATAATGACATATAGAGCGAGGCAACATAAATAACTCTGTGCCCAACATAAATAATTCTATGTAAAAGAATTGGTGTGGAAACAAATTATATCATGTAATTTATAACAGAATACTGGACTCAGTTTTGTAAACTCCACAGAGGCATATGTTATGAGTGAACTCACTGTGCTGTGTGTTTTTAAATGAACTACAAAATAAGATGAAAGACAAAAATTATTTTGAATTTTTTTAAGATCAATATTTTCCAATACAATATTTTTCACACGGATTCTATCATTCCAACATCTCCAATTTCAGGAGTGTGTTCCATAATATGTTTCCACCTTTCATCCCTTTTTGCAAACGTACAAAAAAGTGACTCCTTTTGCAGTCATTAATCTCTCCCCGTCAATGATAACTATTTTTATTTGACAAACTAATCATTGATGCCACACTCGACAACCTTTTTTGAATTTTTTTAACGAAGACACCATGATCGTTAAAGACATGGTACAAGGTCGTTCGTAATAGAGTCTCAGGCACATAATGACCCAGTACTAATTCCACCCCCAGCCTCGACTTCCCTCCATCACAGCCCCCAGATTCCCTCCCAAGCCCCCAGCCTGTCTCCACGACAGATGCATTTTCACATTTGGTTGTTGTAGTTTGGTTCTTGTGCAGACGGAGTTGCGAGGCTGTGCGTTAGACCAGCATCCTACCACATCGCTTCACCATCAGTGTCCTCGAGTCTCCCGTGACGTCCCACCCACCCCTTCTACGTCTCCCTTGATTTCTTTCCTTTCCCGTCCTTTTTTTTTTTGGCTCTTTGGGTCACACCCAGAGATGCACAGGGATTACTCCTGGCTCATACACTCAGGAATTACTCCTGGTGGTGCTCAGGGAACCATCTGGGATGCTGTGAACTAAACCTGGGTCAGCCGCATGCAAGGCAAACGCCCTCCCCGCTGTGCTATCTCTCTGGCCTTCCTCTCCTCCTTTCTGCAATCTCAAGCCAAGGGTAACCTAGGCAACCCGTTCTTGGTACCTTGCACTCTTATCCTGCTATTTTCCTCACCACAGGAGCTCATCCTGTGTTTGTCCTTTTTCTCACTGACAATACTCGATAATTCTTACCAAAAAAAAAAAAAAGTTGGTTTCCAGACTTAACAAGGCAATAGTGTTTGTAAACACCAGTGGTGATCAAGACTTGCAGAATGGTTGGATGAGCCAAGTCTTTCTAAGTGATGTGAGACACCTATGTAAGAAAACCCAGATGGGACTAGTGTGAAGCAGAGGAGAAAAGATAGCAAACCGATACTTAGAGGAGCCTGCATTGCCCTAATTAAGCATTCGCTTTCCTCTTCCTGACTGGATGTGGGAGCCAGTGATACCGAAAGCACTTTTTCCCTTTGGTATGCAGGGCAGGATTCTTAAGTCAACACATGTTCCAGTTAATCCGTATGATCTCCTCAATATCATCCTAATTTCTGTACACCATGTGAACGTGACTTTGCTCTTATGGCGAGCACATTGGGGTTTAAAAAGACTCATTTGCCCAACTCTTCCCACCAGTTGGCAGTGAAAAATCAGCTTTACACTGTTACTACTCAGAGCTTTGTGCGACTGTAGGACACAACATAAGCAGCATCCCGTATAATTTACTGTACATTTATAAGACTTTTTGAAAGAGGAACAGAGAGAAATAATCATGTGAAGATATTCAATGTGAATAGAACAGCCCAGGCAACCCAGGACAGGGGTCCCCAGAGTGAAAGGTCGCCTTCATTATGTAGCATCCCACAAAGTAAACAAGGGCCGGCCCTGAGAGCCGGAGTTAGATCTCCAGCTTCTTATCATGCAGACAGGTTCTGCCCTGCCGAGCGGCTTCTCGGCATCTTTGTCTTGCCCAGAAGAGGGGAGGTTTGTACACAAAGGTGCCTGATGGACTGTCAGTGGGCACACCTGGTCAGGTGCCAGCCCTGCCTTATCTCTCACACCCTCGCGGGCTTCCTGTAGACAAATAGCATGGCAAGGAGGGGAAATAGCCCACGCCAACCCTTTCAATCTGGCTTACAAATGTGTCCCCGCTGAACGCAATCCAAGGCAGGAAGTGCATCAAAATACACACTTTCTCCTCTTTCTAATGCACTCTGAGTGTGTCGGCCCTCCTGATTTCACTTGAATCAAATTGCAAGGATTTGGACTAGCAGGCTAGAGAGAGTGCCTGCCCAGATCAACTCGAAATTTGGCATCATTTTTGGATTCAGCAAAATATACATCCCCCAAATCACAGAGCATATCGAAATTCTTACTACAGCTCGTCTCTTCTAGAAGAAGAGTACGGTCTGGATGTGACGGCATTTAAATCCCCGCTCGCTGAACGCCAACGGCTCTCCCCAAAACCTTCCCAACTTCCATTGGCTCACCTCCCAGCTCTCTCCACTGTGCGGTTTCTTTCCACAGACCCTTTTCTGTCACTGTCCTGTCACTGTCCTCCCGTTGTTCATCAAGTTGCTCCCGAGAGCACCAGTAACATCTCCATGGTGAGACTTGTTGTTACTGTGTTTGGCATATCAAATATGTCACAGGCAGCTTGCCAGGCTCTGCCGTGTGGGCGGGATACTCTTGGTAGCTCGAGGGGCTCTCCAAGAGGGACGGAGGAATTGAACCCGGGTTGGCTGCATGCAAGGCAAACGCCCTACCCGCTGTGCTATCGCTTCAGTCCCTTCTCCCTCAGTAAGAGTAATAACTTGACGATCCTGTGTTCCTCACCTTTTTGTTAAGACCATGCTCCCAGATTTTTGCATGCGACCTGCCCAGTCCATCTGCCTGGAGCCATCTATAATTTAAAAACTGGGGTGTCAGAAAAGCCCAGTGTCTATTATTACTGTCCCCTGCTCTGGAGGGCTCTGTGGCGTGCCCCCTGCAGGTCTCCCCGTCCTGGGCCGACTGTGGGGGCAGGAGCCCCTGAGCTCTCTGTCTAAGGCGCAGAGCTTTGCCTGGGTTCACAGCTGGGAGCTTGTTCTGAAGTGGCTGCATAGAGATCGGCCCTGAGCCAGCCCACCATTGTGAGAACCCCACCACCTGTCTAGGCCGTGTGAGTTCTTTATCCCTGAGGCTGCCTTTCTGGAAGGAACTCACAGGACCTCTGTGGGCAAACACTCTTCTCACTGTCTCTCTTTTCAATTTCTCCTTTCTGCCTAAATTCCACAGCCCCCTGAGGGCAGGCCAGGGAGATGTCCCAACAGTGAGGAGCACACCCAAAGTTTCTGCCAGGTCTAGGTCTGCACCGCCGCGTGCCCACCCTAGCTCCGAGGCCCTGGATCTGGTGTCTGTTTCTTAGGGAATGCTGCATCCCACAGCGCCTCGGCGGCACTTTCTCAGGTCCTACTGCTGGACCACCTGGCTTGGTAGGCCCAATTCCCAGCGAGCCCTGTGTCCTCTGAGGACTGCACAGGAGACCCCAGCTGAATATAGATCAAGAGTTTCTTCTTCCCAGTAACTATTGATTATTGATCTGAAACGGCCCGTCACTGAAGGCAGGGGGTGTCGCAGATTGACTGGGAACCTTATTGCACTGGCCTGGTTCTTTTCCAAGGTCCCTCTGCATGCGTCCAGTAAGAATTTCTTGGCCTGGAAACCCCGGGCCACGTGTCGACAGTTCTAAGACTGTATCTTCACAGATATGGAGGATGCTTTGATGTCTGATTTTTAAATCCATTTCCCCCAGATTCTTTTGATAGGAGATAGTTGATAGTTTGGGTTTAAGTACATTTCTCTTACATGTTTTTTCCCCTTCTGGGAGCTTTAAGAATTTCTGGCAGAGGACTGATTTTTAAACACGAAGCTTCACTCTAATCTGTGACCTGAGAACTTAAAACCACCTGTATTTTAACACTTCCTTGTCCCATGTCAGCCTTTGCTTAGGAAACCAAGAAAATTGAAAAACATTTGTTATGTTTTCGTAGGTCTCAGTTGAGGGTCTTATTCAAGGCGATGTGAGAAGAATGTTGATGATGATAAAACGGAATAAAGTGAGAATGTCACCGGCAAGGCCACGCTGTTGGACGCAGAGGTTGAGCAGAATAACTGAGTGAATCTCTCCATGTACTCTCTCTGCAGATTCACCACGGCCTGAAAAGCGAGAGACCAAGTGCCCCATCCCGGGGTGTGATGGCACGGGGCACGTGACCGGACTCTACCCCCACCACCGGAGCCTCTCAGGGTGCCCCCACAAGGTCCGAGTGCCCCTGGAAAGTGAGTGTTGCTCAATCTCGGAGAGAAGTTGGGGTCTTCATTAGACAAGCGACACCCTTGAATTTCTCCTCCAGTTTGGAATTAAGAGTGGAAGTAGAAAGTTTTCTCTCTCTGGGTGAAGATAATTCCTGTTGCATGTTCTGAGTACAGTGTAGGAGGGGCCGGGGAGGGAGATCAAAGAGCCTGTGTGCGTGCATCTTAGTCTCAGGCCTTAACTTTCATCCCTGGTACCACCTGTCCCCTGCTCCCCAGCACTGCTAAATGAGACCCTCAAAGCTTCCCACACCACCATATGCCATCACACGGAGCTGTTAGTTCCACACCCTCAGGCAGAATATCTCTCAGAGTGGTACCCAGGATGGACCCCCGCTCCTGAAAAAAAAAAAAAGATATCTTACTCACCTTGGAATGCAGACAGGCTAATAGACCAGAAGATAACTGTCACTGAAAAGAAAGCTTGTTACTGAGAGCCCAAGAAAAAGGATCATGCCATTCTGGACAGACCCAAGCAAAAAATTTTATTGTGGTTTCAGTGCCTCAGGCTTGGCTGGTTTGAATCATACCAGCAGGATGCAGAGATTAGGGCTGTTTTAGTGCCACACGAGGCCCTGGAGAATAGGACGTGGGCACAGAGTTCTCTAGCGAGACCGATCAAGGAGGCTGCTGGCTGCGGCCTCCAGGTTGACCAGTTGTTTATTGTGGCTAGAAATTAGCTCCTCCGGGTCCTGGTTGGCCCATCACCAGAGAAAGTGACGAGACCCCAGAGGTCAAATCCTTCCAGAACTGAAAGTCAGAGGCGTCTCACACACTGCTTGGCCTTATCGTCATTTCACTTAGAGGCAGGACTTCCTGAGACCCAGGGTCATCTTAACCTCTGCCCATGATGGACATATGGAATGCAGAGTAAACACGGGGTCACCATCCCCTTCTAGCCTGGGGAATGCCTGGGAGTCACCCCAGGACACCTCTGCGGCAGATGTCTCCACACCTGCTGGGTGAAAGGAGAGTGGGGGAGAGAACTCCTTCCGGGTCTAAAGATTCTAGGTGGTATATTCTCCACCTCTTTAACCCATAACGATGCTAGGTGTTACAGTCCCCATTTCCCAAACCCCATTTACCAGAATGTTCCCTGACTGTCCACACCACCGTGATGTGAACTCCTCAAAGCAGAGTTTTGCAAATCAGTGCATATAATCAGCTCAGTCCCTGCTGGCTGGGTTAGTCGTTCCTCACACTGATTAGCTGATTGTTCTGTCAGCCACACTCCTTTGCCAACAACTAATGGCAGTGTGTGTGTGTGTGTGTGTGTGTGTGTATTGGGGACCTGAAGAGGATGATGGAACAAGAATCAAAATAATCTCCCTTAAGAAATGAAGAGTTTACCCAGAACTTCAAATTCTGGGGGGGGGGGGGGGGAAGAGGTAGATAGAACAGTGGGAAAATGATCTCTTGCTTCATCCCCTGCAAGAAACACATTAATGTAAAAAGAAAAAAAGATGTGAGTTTTTCATTGTATATCAAATATAATTAAGATAGTCTTAAGTCCAGCGTTGGCCATCCCATGCAGTGTTGAGAAATGAAAACTTGAGCAAGCTTACAGAATTTAAGTTTTGAATTTCTTTAAGTGCCCCCTTTGTTTTGATCCATACAGCTATGCAGAAGGTGCATGATTCCTTAGGTAACGACATTCATTTGGGTCTCAGATTGAGAAGTCAGTTTTTCAGTGTGTGCTCTATTTGCGGTAAATGATTCTTTTCTTTTATGTGGTATTTTGTGCTAGTTCTTGCCATGCATGAAAATGTGCTCAAGTGTCCGACCCCGGGGTGCACCGGAAGAGGTCACGTCAACAGTAACCGGAACACCCACCGGAGGTAATTGTGACGGGCCATTAGTCATCGTCGTGTGCACAGAAGTGAGAGAACTTTCCGTCAGCAAATAATCAACTAACAATGTGTTTTCAGAACCACTGGGTCCCTAGCAAATATGTTGCCACTTCAAACAGATATGAAATATGTGCAGAGTAAAATTACCTTGACTATTTTCCTAGAAATTTCCATTAGCCGTCAATTATGCAAACAGAAAATGTTCTATCTGAAGACTGGAGTTATGCATTCACATAGACAGACAAATAGAATTTTTCTGGCTTTCACTCGGAAGCCTTGCAGTTATTTGGATGTTGAAAGATTTTCTGGACATTATCTTGCATTCCACCCAGTAGGCATAAAAAAGGTCACTGTCACTGTCTTCCTGTTGTTTATCGATTTGCTCGAGCGGGCCCAGTAACATTGGGAAACTTGTTGTTACTGTGTTTGGCATATCGAATATGTCACGGGTAGCTTGCCAGGCTTTGCCGTCTGGGCTAGATACTCTCAGTAGCTTGCCGGGCTCTCTGAAAGGGGTAGAGGAATCGAATTCGGACCTTCAGACTGACCAGGTTGGCCGAATGCAAGGCAAACGCCCTACCCACTGTTCTATCGCTCGATATATTTAATAGACTGTAGTTTGTGACTTTGACTAAGAAGTGGAACAAAAAGACATGATTTAATTTCATTGAGATTAATTTCATTGAGATCTTAACATAAAACACATTTGAGTATTCGAATTAAAGTATAATATACACACATAAATGTTCCCAGTGTCAATGCTTATTGTATTCTGTGTGCACTATGTTACAAGTAGATTTTGTGATCTTTAGATATTATCTGGTTCACAGACATACTGTGAAAGTATAGCCTATACTTTCTTCTTTTTAATTTTATTTTTACAAATTAGTTCATAATATTTGATTACATTTAATATTCTAACACCAATCCCACCACCTGCACATCTTCCCCCCCACCATATTCCAGATGTTTCCATCCTGAGCCCCAACCCCTGCCCCAAAGCAGAATCAAACTAATTTATTTCATATTGTTTGTTATGAGTAAATTGCTGAAAATGCTTCAAAAAAGTTTCCTTAGAAGAAAGAGTGTGAAAATTGTTGTATTTCACCCAGAAGGCCATTAAACCCTTCTATAAGGGATCACTAACATGTTGTTAAAGGTTCAGCCGTGTGTGTATGTGTATATATATGTAAATATGTATATATACGTATATATATGTATATACATATATATGTATATCTATATCTTATACTTTCGATTATAACCTAAGACATAAAATAAAATCCCTGGTGCTTTGTTGAGGCATTTTAGCTACGCCTTCGAGTTACCTAACTAGCATCTAATTAGTCATACTGCAACAGGGCTGGAACTTTCCAGTTAAAATGTCAGGGAGTTGCAGAATCATTTAGTTATCTATCCCTTGCATAATATTTTGATTTTTAAAAAAAGCGGATTTGTTTTCTTTCAGTTCTGAGATGAGGTTAGGGGACAAATGTTCACACTGTAGTTTGCAAACCCTTTTGGGATCTTTGTGTATGAGAATAGCGCTAAGTGAACTATTAATAAGACTTAACATTTAGCCTGTGCCAAGTGCACTAGAAGCAAGTCACATTGTCATTCTAACTCAAATCCTCCTCCTTTTTATTTTTAAACAGTCTTTCTGGTTGTCCAATTGCTGCAGCTGAAAAGTTGGCAATGTCCCAGGACAAAAGTCAGCTTGAATCTCCAAAACCCGGTCAGTGTCCTGACCAGATCCACAGGTATGGTCTCCCGCGGTTTCCCGGAACTTCAGGCTGTGGTGTTCACTGAGCCCCACCCAGCTCCCAGGTGACATTGAACTCTAGCCTTATCCTCCAGCTCCCAATGCCCCCAATGGACTGTGTCAGCGAATCATGCCATCCTGCAGATGAACTTCTAGATTTCCCAGACGTGTAATTGGAGATTAATTTGTATGCAAAAATAACATTATTGGAATGGGTCGAAAATAAACGTGGTGGGATAGATTCTACTTTGTTAATTGCAGTGCGGGCACCTGGGAAATGCATTCTCCAGTGACTTTGTCCCCTACTGACCTAAAGTTTCTGCCTAGATAAAATGCCATCATAAACCTTTCATACCCATCTATGATACGCTAGATGTATGCTTCCAGTGTTCCGTGTATACATACAGTTTCTATAAAATATTCTTCTATACATTTATAAGATCCCCTTGTCTTGGTGGTGGGAAATGTAATCTGGTGAAGAGAAACGGGTGTTGGGACATTGTATGACTGAAAGCCAATCATGAACAACTTTGTTACTGTGATTGTCATGGCAATTTAATTAAAATTAAATCAATTAAGAAAAAATAAATAAATAAAAGAGTCCCTTGTGACTCTCAGAGATGTTTGATGATCTCCAGTAGTTTCAAAGACTTTATGTATATTGAGTAATAAACTATTTAATAGGACAAAGTCAAGTCATACAATTATTAATACTGGGTAAAAGAATTTTCTGATTAAGATAAATGCCTTGGTTTTAATTGGTACTGAATTACCAAAATAATTATTAGAAGTATTTTTAGCATGGCCTCCTTTAATATTTACTCCTATAGATTTTATTATGTCATAATTAGGTGCCAGAGAGCTAATACAGCAAATAAGGCACTCACCTTGCAAGAGGCCACCATGGGTTCAATCCCTAGCATCACATAAGGTCTCCCAAGCACTTCTAGGAGTGATCCCTGAGTAAAGAGTCAGGAGTAAGCCCTGAGCACTACTGAGGGTGCTCCCCCCAAATACACGCCCCGCAAAAAAGCAAAATAAGAATTAGGGGCAGGAGAAATTGCCTGATGTTCTGCAGAACATGCTTTCCATGCAAGAGGCCCAGATTTGGGCCCCACACTGAAGCAACCAACACCTTGGCACTAAGCCAAGTAACCATCCCTGAGTCCCACTGGACATGGTTCAAACAAACGAGAGTCAGAAATAGTGGTCAAATCGCATGAGTGAAGAGCATATGTCAAGCATAGACTCCAAATCACTAAACAACTGACAATTAAAACTCTTCCTTGAACAAGTTTCTGCGTTTGTATGGTCTCTACCATTTTCTAAGCAGATTATTTAACAAATACAAAAGCAATTCACTTAGAGTTTCCTCATTTCCTTAAAAGCAAATATTGTTTTAGTCTAGAATACTTATACAAATTTAGGTAATGAAATAAATTTTATATACAGTAATTAAATTAATCACTCAAATATTTCTATTAGCAGTTTAAACATTTTCACCTATATCCAAAATATATCACAAAAAAGTTTAACTTTCTTGTCAGGCATATATTTGTGGGGAAAAAAGAAAAAAATACAGAGCTTGGAAGTATTACATTCTGAAAGATGTATTGTTTTTGTTCTTTTAATATTAGGCCACAGCAAAATAACACTGGGATATCCTTGATCTGAATTGGTGATTCACAATTCTGATATCTTTGTTAAGTTCAAATGTTGTTTTATTTAATTAAAAAATTATAATTTTCTAACTTTAATTATATCATTGCAATTATAAAATTATGAAATTTATTAAAAATTATAAATTGAGATGCTGTGGTTAACAATACTATTGATAACGGTTTCTCATACACATAATTCCAGCACCACACCCAACACCAGTGTACCCATTTTCCTCTCCCAAGGACCCCAAGCATCTTCCCTCGCAACCCGGCCCCCAACTCAATTGTGTGGGTTGGATCTTTCATTTTTTTGCCTTTCACCTTTTGTTCCAACCTCGCTGTGTGTACTTAAGTTGCAAATACAAAAACAGATCATTCTCTATCTATTCCTTTCCTTCTGACTGACCTCACTCAGTATGACGCCCTCTGGTTCCATCCACATTGCTGCAAATAGCATGATTTTGTTCTTTCTTAGAACTGCTAGAAAACCCGGTGAATTTTAAAGGAATACTAAATTCACACTTAGCCTGTATTGGGATAATGCTATTGAGAAGAAACTTCATAGCTGCTCTAATAGAATAATCCTGACCCGAACTGAAATGGTGGCAATTTAGCAGATAAAATATTGAGATTCTATATAAGATAGAATTAGAAGTATTTTAAGTATGGTTTCCTTTAATATTTACTTCTATAGATTTTATTAAGTCATAATTAGGTGCCAGAGACCTTCTACAGCAAATTAGGCACTCGCCTTGCAAGTGGCCAATGTGGGTTCAATCCCTTGCACCACATAAGTTCTCGCAAGCACTTCTAGAAGTGACCCCTGAGTCACTGGAGAAAGCCCTAGACCCTCAGACTGAAGATAAAAAATGGGAAGCAAAATCTACGAGGTACTTCACTCAGCTCCTGATGCTTCTGCTCCTCCCATTAGACTGGAGATTCCTATCAGTTGTGCAGAAGAGTTTCTCAGAGCAGATATTAGTTGGTTCCTCACTAATGACCCCCTGACTTTGCTCTACCAGCCGCACCAAGAAGACAGAAAGGGTCTCTTTTGTCAATGCTCTAACTACACTTGCATAGCACGTTTCTCAAAAAGAGCGCAGAGTAGTGATGGACCTCAAATATCTGCCCTTCTGGAAATTGCATGAGATGCAGAAGAAGTGTGCAGTTTCCTCAGATTGCTGTGAGAAACAGCCTCACAGAGGCCTGGCGCCCAGATCCAGAAGTGGGTCACCCCTCTCACCCCTGGGGAAGAGCTTCTCCTCACTAGAGCACAGCTCTCTGGGGCTATGTCCAGGCAGACACAGACACGTACTTTACAATTCATTCGAATTTGTCTACCGAGAGTTTCGTCTTGTTTCTTTCGAACTCTTCCCTCTCTCTCCTCAGGACAAGCTTGGTGAAGCAAATTGAATTCAATTTTCGATCCCACGCCCTCTCATCTCCCAGAGCCTCGGTGTCCAGTGAACAAGAGAAGTTTGGGAAAGTACCATTTGATTATGCCAGTTTTGATGCCCAGGTTTTTGGGAAACGTCCCCTCACACAAACAGGGCAAGGACGGAAAACACCACCGTTTCCTGAATGTAAGCTTCAAACTTATTCCTAAATGATGCGTCTTGTGAGTTAGGGTAGAGTGGGGCATGCATTCAGATATAAATATGCTTATGAATCTTCAGGAAAAAAAATCCGTTGCTCAGTTTACTAAAGGAAAGTCATCACAGGCTGATTCGCATTACTGACTTAACAGTGAACTTGCACCAAGTATGGCTAATAGTTAATGAATTAGAATTCTACCAATATTGAGTCATTGTTGAAACTAAATAGAGAAATTCTAAAAAGGTATTTAACTCTATCTGCAATAGGGACTAAAATATTGAAAACCACAATAGCTATTTTAGCAGTAATTTTGATTCATAGTGAAATTCAAACACTTTAGGTAAATGTTGAATGTTTTAAAATATCGCTTAGATGTGAGGCTAGAGAGATAGTCAGTGGATAAGTCTCTTGCCTGGCAAGTGGTCAAGCCTAGTTCAATATCCAGCATCTCATATATTCTCCTGAGCACCACCAGGAGTGATCCCTGAGCACAGAGTCAGAAGTAACCCCAAAAGAACAAATATGTATCTCTTAAACCAACAAACGCTTTCAGATCGAAGGTGAGAATCAAAGTAAAAGTCTAAAAAGAACATTAGGGATCAAAATTTTACCAGGGAAAAATATGTTTGACTATGGAGGTATTTATCTAAAAATTTAAGAATTAACATAGAAACATTCAAAATAATATTAAAACATCAAGCTAACGCTTTCTAACCACTCAAGTCATAAAACTGTCTTTTATAAATACATCTTTTATATTGCTTAGAGTTCTTAACTGTTTTAATATAACAGAAAGTAAATAGCCTACATAAACCAAGGAATGACTCCTGCGTTATGCCAATTTAATTTAATTATAAGGGATAAACAAAAGAATTCCTCACTTTGAGTCCTCCGAAAACCATAATTTCTTTTTTTGGCATTCCTTAACTCGACAGAATCCCTTTGACCCTACACCTAGTTTCCTAAATTGAGTGTTTTTAAGACTACAAAAGATTTGCTTCACTGTGTAATGGTGACCACCTCTTTCAGTAAATAAGAATGCCTTATAAAATTCAGCAGCGGAGAAAAAGACTTGAAAGGAGCTGACCCATCCTTGAGAAGTATATCACATTCCAAAAGATACTTAACCCACTCAAACCAAAATAGGTACAATCCAAGACAAATAACAATCTGTTAAGTCAAGGGGAAAAAAATACACATTTATGCATGCACAATGTTTTGTATTTTCTCCATAAGATTATATAAACATACATATTTTATATGCACAAAAATAAGCATTCGTATATCTAATTCAGGTGAAATTAGAATATTCTCATACGCAGTGAAATTTTATTTAGAAAAATGCGAAACATCGGCACTTTCATATTTTTATAATTATAAGAATGACATTTAACAGTCTTAATTTACTTTATAAAAATAACAAAATGTTTAAAATAAATAATATTTACATCAAAATTATAGGTCTACATGCTTTTCTAATATCCCAAACTACATCTTAAGTGCTTTTCCCACTGCCTGAACTGAAGTGACAAATACTCAGAGTGAGGAGAAAACGTGTTTAACTCTATTTCTCTGTAATCTTAGCACCCACAGTAGAAAACAAACCTCACAATTCGGCCTTGAGAACTCAACTATTTTCCTGTTCCCCTTGAGAATATTTCCTCCATTCTTAACTTACTACAGTCTATCTAGTATGTCAAATGCCAAATCATCACATATTTCTCCATCTACTTAGTTCCATCTAGCTGGATGAAGAACGATTTCTGGTTTAAGTACAAAACAAACCTGCAGATCAAAGAACCAAATTCAATTCTGTGTCTAAGTACAAGTTGTTCTGTGACGGCAGGTCTTAAGAAGACCTCCTTTTTCCTTTATCAAATTTACCTTAACACCCAGCTCGTAAATGTGTAGTCCGTAAGCCCCTATAGTTGGGTTTTACAAATATGTCTTTTAATCTCTAATTTTTGTCACAAATGCTGTCAGTGCATCTGCCTCCTACTTGTAGTTCTGGCGTTTGGGACATTAGAAGTGCAAATAGAGAAAAATTATTAAGAGGATGATAAGCATTCTTTCCCAGTGACCTGTGAACTTCTGCGCAAACCAATCCGAAAAACCTCCATTGAATGAACCACTGAATAATGAATCACGTTTTAACTTATTCTTCACGTATTTTCATGCAAGAAGTTATATCTTTAAAACGAATCGATGTGATGGCTACCACCATGTACCTGCAATGGCTAATGAAGTCTCTCTTTAACAGCAAGGCCTTTCTCCAATGCAGGGAAACTTCCTAGCCGCCTGCCCGGTGCAGGCACCCGCACACAGAGCCCAGGCCATGCCAGCTCTTGCAGCTATGGTCAGTGCAGTGAAGACACCCACTTAGCAGCAGCTGCCGCTATTCTGAACCTTTCCACCCGCTGCAGGGAAGCGGCCGGCATCCTCTCCAGCAAACCGCAGAGCCTGCATGCCAAGGTAGGCCAGTCCAAGGCCCTGGGGCGGGCAGCGACTGAACCATGAGAACCAATTGCCTTTCATGTTCCCATCACGGATCCCCCACCCCTCACCAGCTCCCTTAGGTGTCTGAGGAAAAGACTCAGACAGACATGGGCAGGGAGGAGCGGGGCAGGAGCCAGGGAGCACGGGAGCATGGTGTGCTTGCAGGACAGTGTTTCATGGAGGCGAACGCTTGAGAAGTGAGCTTAAGAGACTCCCGGTTAGGGAGCTTTGTACATTGCTAGCCTTTCTCTGCACTGCGGGTAGAGTTTGGCACAGACCAAGCGAGGACTGTCATTAAAGTCAACCAAAACAATGGGAGCTCCTCACACTCTACAAATGAAAGATGATCAGAGGATGTTTGCTTAAAGAGACTTTTTAAAAAATATTTGAGAAATTGACTCCTAATATATTATTAATGCTCATGGTAGTGATGTATAACGTAAGATCATCTAAGTTTTTGGTAATCTTTTTTTTTTTTTGCTTTTTGGGTCACACCCAGCAATTCTCAGGGATGACTCCTGGCTCTGCACTCAGGAATGACTCCTGGCAGTGCTCAGGGGACCCCATGGGATGCTGGGAATTGAACCTAGGTTGGCCGTGTGCAAGGCAAACGCCCTACCCACTGTGCTATTGCTCCAGCCCCATTTGGTAATCTTCTTAAAGACAGAAAAAAACTTGGATCCGTTAAATCAATAAGAGATGGTTGGTGGGTGACAAGGGTGAGAGCTCAGGGCATTCAAATCCAAGCTCAAATTCTGCCGAGCTTATGAAGACACGCCACTTCTGAAGCCCATGAAATTAGTTGCATTTCTCTGACAACCTTTCCTTTCTGACTAATAATGAGAAGTAGAAGTTTTATGCTAACTTGAAAATATTAAAAATTATAAATAAAAAATTTTAAACATTAAAAATTACCATGCTTTGCCTTTTGAGAAGGGTGTCTCACTACGCTCAGAAACATAATAATCCTATGAGGATCTCAAACTCCTCTCTACACATAAAACATTCGAGTTCCCCTACCCGGATGGTTGGAAATAAGATGCCCGAACTCGTAGGCAAAGATCTTGCCCTTGAGCCGGGCAGCAGCTTTTTCCTCGGTTGAAAGTCCAGCCCTGGCACTCAGGTAATTGAAGAACACAGTCCCCTCCTGTCAGGCGGAGTTCGTACCCGGTGCGGTCAGCTGCTCACCTGTGTGGTGCCAGGACGGAGGGCCGGGCACATGGCACCACTGAGCGTCTCACAGGAGAATCAGAATTAGCTTCTGGACAAACTGAGCCAAGGAAACCCCAGGAAGAGTTGGTGGCCAAAAACCACTCAAAAGCAATTTTTAAACAAATGAGGTTCTTAAACAAAGAAAAACATCTTCTAAATAAAAGAAAGAAAGAAAAAGCCAAGCTATCCCAGTTCAAAGGAATTTAAGTCATTAAGTATTTACACAAATGGACTGATTTAGGGTATTCAAAAGTGCAACTTTAAGTATTTTAAAATTCATTTTTAAGAGCTGAATGAATTTCTTTTTTCAAGGGGTATTCTAATTGTAGCTAGTTAGAGGAATATTAATATATCTTTCTTCTATGCCTTATTATAGTTTGGTTAGTTATATTCTTAAAATGAGAGAAGCGATATTATAATGATTAATGCTAAATTATTTGAGAAGATTATTTCTAGAATGCATGTTTTCTATCTGCACTTAAAGGTACTTTTTGTTCCCCAAATTCTGTCTTTAACTTTACCTCTCCACATTCTAGTAATTCCTAAAGTCCAAACAAAATTAAAAGGTTAACTAAAATGTAATATTTCCTTGTCAATCTATGGACTTCTCTTTTGAAAACACCTTTCGAAAGTCGCTGAAGTGACTTCTAAATTGGCGCGTATCAAGAACACAGCCAGCCAGCTTCCTGCGTCTGCTCCTGAGCCTGGTTGGAGCCTGCTGTGTGTTGGGGTTACTCTGTGAGCAAATAAGCATCCCAGGGTGGCAGGATTTCTACACCTGGCTCAGCCTCCCAACTGCCAAGCAAACTGTCAGTGCGGTAGCTAAACTATCAGTGTGGTAACGATGACCAAAAAAAGACAGAAAATGCACCAGTCAGCTTCGGAAAAGAACTTGTCATGCTGGCGTCTTGTAAACCTTTTTTTCCCAGGGAAAAAACAAATCTCATGTGGGACTGGAGAAATATGACAGGGACAAAGTACGTGTCTTGCATGCTGTTGACCCAGGTGCCATCTCCAGCAACTCATGTTGCACTGCAAATCATCAGTCTTGGAGACCCAAGACCGCCACGGTGGTCTGGGTGACCCCTAGCAGCTTGGGTCTGAGCGTCCTTGGGGCCTTGCCCTGAACTACTGGCCTCGTTGACTGAGAACACCAGAAGTGGAATTGAGGGTTTCCTGAGCAGCACTTCTGAGTCACCAGCCCCCAACACAGTGACAGATCCAGCAGGATTAGCGTGGTATGTCCTGAGGCAATCTTAGCCGAATCCTCCCCACTGACATGCGTGTGTACACGCACATACGACTACAGCACCTTGAGTATTCCCCTTCCTAGTTGAATCCTGTTTCCTGAACATAGAAGAAATATCACAAATTCCCAAAACAATAGAAGACAACTTTAATAGAACAAAAATGGGGAGGAAACCCCAAATAATGACCCCGAAGATGCTCCCTAATTATACAGTGGTGTCACGCACCTCCTATTGTGAGTGTTGCACTTTGCCCTGGGCCTTTTACCTAACCTGGGATTCTGGACTGACTATGACTCGCTGCAGTATCATTTGATTTCTCCTCCATGACAGGTTGTTCATATATTTATTTCTGATTAGGCAAAACTCCTAGACCTCATAACTACTTGTATAAAAGGGATATATTTTTGCATCCTTTTTATATCCATGTAGAACTTCTACCCATTCTTGACTTATGGGGTCCATATAGAGGCATTGGAGAGACATTTTAGCAACGGACTCTTTGAGGTAAGAAGCAAGAGATCTTTACCTACCAAGTTGTTGGTACTTTAACCAAGCCAGCAGTTAAATTCTACCACAAATCCTGACTTCAAGGAGCATAAGGAGCGAGAGGGAAACAGGATCACAGCTGTTCCAAGTAGAGACCTTTTCAGAGATGAGTCCGTGGGGTCCAGAGGATGAGGTGTAACTTTAAGGGAACGTGATCAGAATTGGTACAAGGACTGATTGCTTCTTTTCCTAATGCCTCTACAATCTTTTTGTTTCTGTGGATTTTTTTTTGGGGGGAAAGGGGACATATCTGGTGGTGCTCAGACTTAGTCCTGTCTGAGAACTCAAGAATCACTTCTGGTGGTGCTCAAGGATAACAGTGGTGCTGGGGATCAGAGCCACGTTGACTCGCGGAAGGCAAGCTCCCTACGCTAGTGCCATTTCCCTGAGCCCTGTTTATGTCTTAAATGTGATGAAGCTAATGAAGCTGAGTGAAGAACACAAAAGGAGAACAAAATGCAGTTCATGGGTAAAATCTTTTAAAATAAAACCAAAGAGTATTAACCTTCAAGTTGACATTATACCTCTTTTTTTGTACTAATAAATGAGGCCCATTGTATTTACTGGTTTTGGCATATTGGATACGCCACGGATAGCTTGCCCGGTTCTGCTGTGCGGGCAGGATACTTCGACCATGAGTGTGAAAAGGTCGGACTCCAGCTGAATCTCACAGAGACAATGTTTATGAGAAACAGTCTTGTTCCTGATGTTCCATTTGCTCTCAACGGAACAAGCATCTCCGAATGCAATAGTTATGTGTACCTAGGTCGAGAAGTCAACATGATGAATGACCAGGCACTGAGTTGCGCAGGAGGAAGAGGGCAGCTTGGAACGCCTTCAAGTGCATCGAAGAAATACCTAAGAGGACGAAGAACCTCTGACTCCAGGCACATCTCTTTGATTCCATTGTTCTTCCTGCATTAACGTACATCTCAGAGACCTGGGCCCTATGAAAACAGGATGAGAATGCTATTCGGGTCTCCCAAAGAGGAATCGAAAGAGCTATGCTTGGAGTATCACATTTCACTCAAATGAGAGAAAGAATCCGGAGTTTTGACCTCCGTCGATGGTCAAAAATCTGGGACGCTGTCTCGTTTGCCAAGGCATCGAAAATCAGATGGGCTGGATACATGATGCGATTTGGAGATGACCACTGAATTAGAGCTGTTACCGACTGGATTCCACAGGAAGTCAAAAGATCGCGTGGTCGCCCACCTATGAGATGGTCAGATTTCTTCATCAAGACCCTGGTTTGAGGCTCTTCGTGTTTCTACAACGACCAGACACCATTGGGCTACACTAGCACGTGACAGGGAAGAATGGAGATGTTACTGGCATCCACTCAAGCAAATTGATGATTAACGGGAAGTCAAGTGATTGAGTTATCAAGTACTAATAAGTATTTTTCCAGGCTGCATGCAAGCTCAAAAGTGACTTCAAGCTTGGGCTGGAGTGATAGTACAGTGGGCCGTCTGCTTGCCTTGCAGGCTGCTGAGCAGCCTTGATCCCCGGCATCTCCTGTAGTCACTCAAGCACCACCAGGAGCGGTCACTACATGTAGAGCCGAGAGCAGGCTCTGAGGACCCTCGGGGTGGCCCCAAAACAACAACCAAAACAGTGACTTCAACTGTAACAGAACAGAATTAACGATTTGCAAAACACCTACTCTTTTTTTTTTAATTTTTATTAGTGAAACACCATGAGGTACAGTTGTAGACTTACAAATTTTTGTGCTTGGGTTTCAATTATACAATGATCAAATACCCATCCCTCCACCAGTGCCATTTTCCACCACCACGGATCCCAGTATCCCTCCCACCCCCAACCCCCCATCCCACCCTGCCTCTGTGGCAGGGCATTCCCTTTTGTTCTCTTGTTTTGCAAAACACCTACTCTTGTAAAATACTGGGAAGGCACCCTGGGTTCATAAAGGCAAGAGAACTTGGAGTTCCCAGGTACTCTCACTTA